TGGGGATGTCCCTCTGCCACGCCCTGAGTGCCCCAGGGGAGATGGGGGTGACAGCAGGGCTGCCCAGGGAGGTTTAGAAGGGATTTTCTTCAAGCCTGAGGGGTGACAGCAGCCTCAGCCCAGAGCAGAAACGAGATTTCCGTGTGAGGGCACTTCCCAGGGGGATCAGACCATCCCAGCAACTCAGATCCCACAGAATCCCACCTTCCACCCCATTTCCACGTGAAGGCACTTCCCAGGGGGATCAAACCCCTCCCAGCAGCTCAGACCCCACATAATCCCACAAAATCCCACCTTCCACCCCATTTCCACGTGAGAGCACTTCCCAGGGGATCAAATCCCTCCCAAGCAGCTCAGACCCCACAGAATCCCCCAGAAGGACCTTCCACCCCATTTCTCTATGAGGACAGGGGGATCAGACCCCACAAAATCCCACCTTCCACCCCATTTCCACGTGAAGGAACTTCCCGGGGGATCAGACCCCTCCCAGCAGCTCAGATCCCACAAAATCCCACAAAAGGACCTTCTACCCTATTTCCCTATGAGGATAATTCCCAGGGGGATCAGACCCCCCCAAACAGCTCAGACCCCACAGAATCCCGAAGAAGGACCTTCCACCCCATTTCTCTATGAGGACAGGGGGATCAGACCCCACAAAATCCCACCTTCCACCCCATTTCCACGTGAAGGAACTTCCCAGGGGGATCAGACCCCTCCCAGCAGCTCAGACCCCACAGAATCCCACCTTCCACCCCATTTCTACGTGAGAGCACTTCCCAAGGGGATCAGACCCTTCCCAGGAGCTCAGATCCCACAGAATCCCACAGAATCCCATCTTCCACTCCATTCCACTATGAGGGCACTTCCCAGGGGGATCAAACCCCTCCCAAACAGCTCAGATCCCATGGAATCCCACAGAATCCCATAAAATCTCACAGAATCCCACCTTCCACCCCATTTCCCTATGAGGGCACTTCCCAGGGGGATCAGATCCCCCTAAACAGCTCAGACCCCACAGAATCCCCCAGAAGGACCTTCCACCCCATTTCCCTGAACATTTTGCCATNGGGAATTTGGCCCCTTTGGGCAGGGCTGACCCCATTCCCAGCACTCCCATCCCCTCTCACTTCATCTCCTGCTCATCCTCCTCCTGCTCCTTGCGCCTCTGCTCCTCCTCCAGCTCCTTGTACTGCTTCAGCATGGCCTCGAAATCCACGTTGGCCTGGCGCTGGTTGAGCTCCTTCAGCTCCTGCAGGTTCTCCAGCACCTCCATTTCCAGTTTGGAATCCTTGGTTCGGTTCTCCAGGACCTGGATGGGATAATTTGGAATATTTGAGGGATCTCTGACACCTCCCCACGCTGGATGAAGCACAAAAGGATCCTCATCCTCATTTTTGGGTAGAACTGGAAAACCCCAATGGCTGGAAAATCACTGGGGAAGTGCAGGGCAGGGTGGGAGAGGTTTTTCCTCCAGTTTTTGTACCTTCATGGGATTGTTGAGCTCTTCCTCCTCCCTCTCCTTCTGCATCCTCTTCTCCTCCTCCTCCAGGAGTTTCTCAGCCTGGAAGTTGCGGGTGGCGCCGTGCTCCATGGTGTAATCCGTGTTCTCGGGGTCTGTCTGAGGAGGGGACAGCAATGGGATCGTTGTTTGTGGGGGAATCCTGCCCCAGCCAGCCCAGGGMCACTGCCAGAGGCTCAATTCCCTGATTTCAGGGAGGAAATTGCCATGGGAAGGGTTGAGGGAGATAAAAATCAACGCTCGGGATCGGTGCTGGGGCAGGAGGGTCAGGGAATTGTGGGATCCCAAATCATGGACACTAAAAAGGTGTCAAGAGTGTCAGAGAATTGTGGAATCCCAAATCCGGGACACAAAAAGTGTGTCAGGAGCGTCAGGAAACCATGGAATCCTAAATCATGGATACCAAAAAGGTGTCAAGAATGTTAAGGAATCATGGAATCCCCTGGCTGATGCAGCCAAAATCCACACTCAGGCTCAGTGCTGGGTCAGGAGTGTCAGGGAATCGTGGAATTCCAAATCCTGGACATTAAAAGGGTGTCAGGAGTGTCAGGGAATTGCAGAATCCCAAATCATGGACACTAAAAGGGTGTCAGGAGTGTCAGGGAACTGTGGAATCCTAAATCCTGGATACCAAAAGGGTGTCAAGGGTGCCAGGGAGTTGCAGAATCCCAAATTCTGGACACCAAAAGGATATCAGGAGTGTCAGGGAATTGCAGAATCCCAAATCATGGACACCAAAAGGGTGTCAGGAGTGTAATGAAATCATGGAATCCCAAATCCTGGACACTAAAAGGGTGTCAAGAGTGTCAGGGAATTGCAGAATCCCAAATCATGGACACGAAAAGTGTGTTGGGAGCATCAGGAAACAGTGGAATCCTAAATCCTGGATACAA